ATTCCGAAGCAGGTTTTTATTATTTTGTGTAGCTTATTTCCTATTTGATTCACATCCAAGGTCGCTGTACATTTGCACAATCTTGCTTTGGATCAGTCATCTAATATTATTCCAATCAAGACCGTCACTACGTATTAGGTTCCCAGGTAGACAAGACGCCGTCTAGAACTGAGGGATTAATGAAGGACTTGCTGCTCGGGTTTCACTTCTTTAACTCTGCGTCATGTGTGTTTGTTGAGACACAGCAGCAGATAGTCAGCATGCCACACGTGACTCAGAGTCACTCGCCTGTTACAGCCGCTGTTTAACCTCTTTGTGTTGTCTGTGTGTGCACATAGCTGTGAGTTTTCTGTGCACAGCACCTTCGTACATGCCGAAGCGGTCTGATCTGATAGTGGTGTGTACTCTGCCCCCCCGTCCCCTCCCTGGAGGCCCACTATCTGTTTGTTCATCTCTTCAGGACACACATTGTTTAAATCAAAGCAGCTCTGCAGAGGAGACTTCGCTGCAGCTCCAGCACGAAGCAGCTGCTAATAACCTGCTGCTGTCGGTAGGACGGGAGGCAGGACGTTGATGGTTTTCCTATATCCCATCTCTGTTTTTCCAGAGTATTTACCTTTTCTTCAGGCCTTCAGTCTATAAAGAATCTGAATTTATGGCAGTAATATGACCCTCTGTGTGTGAATCAGATGCTGTAATTTGTGCTGCAGTGTGTGTGGACCCCGAACAGAAGGATCTTGTGTCCTGTTTACACACTACAGTAATCACACAGCACATCAAAGATGAAGAAGGCTTTTGACTTGGTCCCTGCCACACTGGCTGCATATTTTGTTGGGATTTGGACACAGCGCAGAAGCTGAATGAAAGGCGCAGCACGCTGCCAAAACACACACAGCATAAGCTGTTCCTGCCATGTGATCAAAGTGAGAACCAAAATGACTTTATCCTCCCAAGTGCAGCCGCAGTCCTCGGAGAAACACTAACCGCAGTTTTGTTTTGGTAAGAGTCGAGTTTTGTGGCTGTCGCACGCAGTTTGACCTAAATTCTTTCTGCTGCTCTGCCGTGTCTTCCAACAGTTATCTTTTTTCTTTTTTTTTTTGTCTGGGTTGTATTTAATGATTTACCCGCTATATGGACGGCTCACATGGTTTGTCAATCAGCATCAATCCAGTAAAGAATAAAAACCTGTTAACATAACTGGAAGAATTTCAGCTGTTGCTCAGAATCAGTTGTGAAGCAGATATTTTTGTTTTCCTGTAAAATATGTGACAACTACTGAATGGTTTGACATTAAACTTGGTTGAGATGTTCATGTCCGTCAGTGGATGAATCCTCATGACCACTGGTCTAAAGTACTGAACTATACTGCACTAAAAACACATTTAATGGTACTGGTGTCTGCTCTTTTCCTGCTACTTTCTGCTTCCACTCCCCCACATCTTAGATAGAAATATTCTTTATTTTTCTTCGCTTCATTTCTCTCTTAGTCACTAGTTATCTTGAAAAGTAAGATTTACATACTGAGAGCTTATGAAATTGGCTGTTTTATGATCATTAAACTTTAAACGAGAGTTTATGCGAGTACAGCTGAAACAACAGAAAACTGGCGATCATTTTTTAAATTGTTTCGAGCACTCGAGGTGGCATTTCTTGCTATTTTCAGATTTTTTTTTTTTACAGACTTAATAGAGAAATGGAGAAAATACTCACCAGAATAATCCTCAATAGAAATAATCATAAGTTAGCAAATAGTTCAGAACGACCTCTGCCAAGAGTAAAATCCTGTTTTTACATTAATGCAAGAGTGATGATATTCTAATTATAAGATATGATGATATGCAGTAATTAAACAGTTACAGAGGACATTTTTCTGCTTTGAATACTTTTACTGTACATTTTTACATACATTTTAATGATAATACTGCTGCACAAGTGTGATTTTCAGGGCAGGACTTTACATCTAACAGAGAACTTGTGGCAGAACACAATAAGTAGACAGCGTTTAATGTGCTAAATGTAATAATAGTAAAAAATCTGAATTAGCAACCCTAATTCATAAAGAAGATCAAGTGAACTGTTGAAGAAAGCTTTGCTGAGATTGTTTTTTCTTTTCGGAAGCTCTGCCGGCGTCGAAGTCACAAGACAGACACAACAGACATCTCATGAGGGATTTTTATGTAAACGTGACTTTGCAGGAAAATAAGTCCAACAGAATGTGACCGTTTAGGAGATGAGAGAGTCAGATGAGACGGTTCGCTCACACGGCCCCATAACAGAGACTCTGTGGTGGAGGTTAGCAGCTATATTTATGAATATACGTGACTTCTACGCCCCGGTTGCTCTCGAGAGCAGCTCAGTTTCTTGGTGTAAAATAAGCCTACCAGTGGATGGAAGAACGCAGACGGTGCTCATGTTTTTATAAAGCGTGTTAAAGAGTACAATGGTCATCAGATACTCCATGACATACTTGTGTTGTTTTACTTCAGGAATGGATGTGAATACTTCCTCGTCTGCTGCCAGTGACTCCGATGATGTCCGTATTTTTCGTGTAGCACCACAAGCAGGACAGTAAAATATCTGAACACAGTCATTTGTGGTCCCCTGAATCCTAATAACTTTGCTGGCTTTTCATCTAGCGCCATCATTACTCTTCAGGCCCTTCGTGGTCTCTCTTTGAGCTGGATTTCTGACCACTTGAAGATCTTTGGGCGGAGGTGTTCTGTCTGTTTCAGGGGCAGGACTGAAAACTAAAAGGGACGTTTGTTGTCCAGGCTTTTAAGTCGCTTAAAACGTACTTTTACCGGAGTCTTTTATTTCTTCTAGTGGTGTATTATGAGGAAGCACTTTGGAACTTGGACTTTGAAAAATGCTCTAGAGATAAAGATTATTTTTATTATCATCATCAACATTTCTGCGTGGAGTCTCCATGTTCTCCCCGTGCAGCGTGGGTTCTCTCCGGGTTCTCCGGCTTCCTCCCACAGTCCAGAAACATGCTGAGGTTAATTGGTGATTCTAAATTGTCCGTAGGTGTGAATGTGAGTGTGCTTGGTTGTCTGTCTCTAAGTGTAGCCCTGTGATAGACTGGTTACCTGTCCAGGTGAACCTGCCTTCACCCTGAGTCAGCTGGGATAGACTCCAGCCCCCCACCACCCTAGTGAGGATTAAGGTGTAGAGATGATGGATGGATCATCATAGTTAGGTTAACTTCAGTAGTTTGTTTTATACGCAGCAGCACCAGTGAGCCTCAGCTCTACATTGCGTTTGGTGCTAATGTTTTCAGGCTGAGCTGAGATTAGAAACATGATGAGCGTTATACCTGAACGTTAACATTTTTGTCATTGTTAACATGCGGATGTCATCTCCAAGCACCGCTGTTCATAACGGTGGCGTCACAGAGCTGCGAACAGAACTGTAGGCCAGAAACGCTCTTCACAGCTCGTCCAGTGCAGGAACATAATGCAGCGCTGCTACTCGTTAGAACTCACCCAGTATAACATGGGTACAATCATCCACCGGACCATACACGTGATAGGTGTGCATAGTCTTTATCATGACCTCTGTTCTACCTTTGTACTTCCTGTCTTGCTTTCTTATGATGCTTCATCTACATCTAGCTGCTGGTATGGTTTATATTATCTTATCTCTACCCACAAGGGCCAAATGACGAGAGGCCAGTTAATGAGCGAGCAAAATTAATTATCATATAAAATGCTAAAGATAAAACACTGAGAGGTCGATAACTCATCTGTCTTTGAAATGACGTAACAGCTTTATTTAGTAGTTATAGTTTCTATAAGCACCACTGATCAATCAACTTAATAATAAGTAAATAAATAAGTAAAGCTCCCTCACAGGGAATCCTTGGATTTGTTGGGTTTTCATGTATACTCATGTAGAGTCGTAGCATTAGTTCTGAAGCAGTCAAATTAATCTCCAAAATGAATAATACTGTAGGGTCTTAACCTTAATATTTAACGTAGTGAGGTTAATCTCCATTATTAATACAACCACAGGGTCTTAGCCTTTAAATTTATTATAGTTATCGTACAGCTGTATTTTATATTAACTTTGTTTTAATGTGTAGTATTTAAATTATTCAGGTAAATTCACATCATAGATAACTCTGTAGGGTCTTAACCTCAGCATTTAAAGTCGTTAATTCATAAAACCGATCACATTTCTCTACTGGAAAAGACTTTGGCTGCTTCTTTAAATGTGCTTTATCACTAACTGGGATTAATTTAGCATTTACCTTCACATTTATTCCAGTTTTAACAGCCGCCAACATTTTTATGCGTACACACATTTTAATCTTTGTAGAGAAAATACAAAGTTAATCACAAAGTACAGTAAATAATAAACCATCAGAGTTGTTGACCTTTTCTCAGATGTCTGGTGAGGCTTCCTGTTCAGTAAATGAGGCGTCTCTGTGGGTCGCACTATTTTTAATGCCACCTTTACCAGCTGTCTTTTTCTCAGCAGTAAAGAATGAGTTCATCGCTCACTGCATTTCTGTTTTATCACCCCGGATAACAAGTCACTGGCTGTATTAACTTGCGTAATGACACGGAGACAACAGGACGCCTGTTGGGATGCCTATTGTGAGACATGTGACCTGTGCATCCTGTGACTGAGGCACTAATTAGATTTTTTTTTTTTTTTTAAATCAGCCATAACCAAAACGGTATGTGACGCTGGACCAACTGAACCTCCACCTCCAAAACCATGTTTCCAGCCTAATGAGCTGTTGTTGCAGATAGTGACAAACCAGACAGCCGGCACCTTGTTATGGGAAAACCCAATGCTGTCACCATGGTAACCCATTATGTGATCAGGGTTGATTGTCTTCCTGGGATCAACGCAGGGCTCTGTGCCTGCACAACACGTTAATACAGGCAGTATGTCGGAATGTGGGTGCAGAGAAATGATTATTTTATTCTGCTCCTCATCAGATTTTCTTGAGCTGGATGCATCTTTTTGTTTCTGCTCTCCGTCCGCAGGCTCGGATCTCCTTTGTGCGGGTGAAGTACCTGTTCCTGACATGGCTGACGGTGCTGGTGGGGAGCTGGGTGCTCTATGTGCAATACTCCGCCTACACCGAGCTGTGCAGAGGACACGAGTGCAAGAACGCCATTGTGAGTGATGTGAAAGTCATTGTGGTTAGAAAATTGCACAATACACCTTCGTGTTACGAATCGATTTCCGTGCAGCGACCAGAGCATGGCCTCTGATTCAACAGAACTTATTGTGTTCTCCATTTAAGACCTAAACAAGTACAATTTTTCTCTTTCTCTAAGTGTGATAAATACAGGAGGGGAATCATCGATGGCTCCGCCTGCAGCAGTCTGTGCGACAAAGAAACGCTCTACATGAGCAGGTGTCTGTCAACGCTGCCCAACAACCAGGTAGGAGGCAATTGGACCCCATCCATCCACCATCCATCTATTATCTATACACCACTCAATCCTCACTAGTGGGGGGCTGGAGCCTATCCCAGCTCAAGGTTACGAACCGATGACCTTCTAGCTGTGAGGCGACGGTGCTAACCACCGATCCACCTGCAGCCCAGGCAACTGGACTGAAACAGTAAATTATTCCAATCATAACTGCTCATTTGTTTGTTGCGGTGCTGACCAGGTGTACACGGGGAGCTGGGGAGACCACGATGGGATCATCCGCTGTAAGCTGGGGGAGGTTGTGCACTACGAGCTGGGCGAGGAACCGGAGCCACGGAGAGAAGCCCCCGTGTTCGACAAGCCCACCAGAGGAACCTCAGTGGAGAAGTTCAGAGAGATGGTCTTTAATCACCTCAAGGTAAAGAAACACTGGCTTCAGCAGAAAAGTTCACACAGAACCAAATGAAGGCTGAAACAAACCCCCTTCTGTCTCTCTCTGTCCACCAGTCCAAGCTTGGAGAGCAGGCCAACCTCGCCAGCCTCGTCAGCCAGATCCTCTCTGTCGCCGATGGCAACAGAGACGGACGGGTGTCACTGCCAGAAGCTCGCTCCACGTGGGCCCTCCTGCAAATGGACGAGGTATCTGAACTCACCAAGCGGCCGGTGGCGCCGAACACGTTGTTTTCATACCTTCATGTGTGTGTGCAGCTCTGTGGTGAGACCGGTTTCTTCTGTGTTCTTTTAGGTGCTGCTGGGCCTGCTGCTCCAAGACCGGGGACACACTCCTCGCCTCCTCGGCTACTGCGGAGACCTGTACATGACGGAGCGGATCCCCTACGGGCCCCTGTATGGGCTGTCCCTGCCCTGGCCCCTTGTGTCCTGGGTGCCCAGTGGTGTGCAGCGCACCATGGACCAGTGGTTCACCCCCTCCTGGCCCCGCAAAGCCAAGATCTCCATGGGCCTGCTGGAGCTCGTGGAGGACATCTTCCACGGCACCTACGGCAGCTTTCTGATCTGCGACCTCGCCGCGGCGCACTTCGGTTACACCAGCGGCCACGAGCTCCGTCTGACCAACACTCGAGCGGTGGTTCCCGAGGACGAGTTCCGGCGCACCATGCGAGCGCTGAAGTGCGAGTCAGATGCCGACTGCGTGTACGGGGTGGACTGCCAGACCTCGTGTGACTTGTCGGAGAAGCGGTGCAGGGCGGAGCCGGTTCAGCCCAACCTGGCGAAGGCGTGCGGCACGCTGAAGGACTATCTCCTGCGTGGGGCGCCGTCGGGGATGAGAGAGGAACTGGAGAGGCAGTTATACGCCTGCATGGCTCTCAGAGGTAATGCCGGACAGATGAACATGGAGCACTCGCTTATCCTGAACAACCTGAAAGCTCTGCTGTGGAGACAGATCTCACACACCAAGGACTCGTGACAAGGAGACAAGTCCTTGTTGAGTCGTATTAGTCAGTTCTTCAAGTAGAACTGAGTGTAAAAGATGCTGTGATTTACAAGTAGCAAATTTAATGAAGTCTTTTTATCAACTTCTAACACTTATGAATGGTCAGGCTGATGGACCTACCTCCTCTATCCCAATTTTAAAAGTTCGGGGCCTGGAAAACTTGTTTGAGTACTTTGATAAGACTGATATAAACTGAATGATTGCATGTTGCCATCGATCACACTTGTCACGCGAACACATGGCATCGTATTGTATTGTTCACCACGGGGGAATGTTACGAGGACAGATTTTACTGTTTCCAGTCTGAAGAGCTGAGACACTAAATCCTGTTTCTGTTACTATAAAGACGAGTGAGCGAGCTCCGGTTTTAGGCAGAAATAAAAACGCAGCATTTCGAGATAGGCTCCCTAATTCTGCTACGGTTGCTGTTAGGATCCATAACATGATCAGGGAGTTTACTTCTGCTGGACAATATCTCAGATTTTTTGCTCTTTTTAATAAATCCAATGGAAGGACCAAACTGAACCGTGCATTATCAGTTCTTTTAGATTTTACCGAACTGTCTGCAGCACTAAGCACACTGATGCAGAAAAAATACCTCAATTAATGCAAAAAAAAAAGATTAAAAGATTTGCTAAAACGGCCGCTCTGCAATGCAGTAGAGGCTACCCAAAAAAAGGAGTGCATTTGTTGGAGATTAAAACTAATTTGGTGCACGAGTCGGCTCAAAATTAACTAGTTATGCTCCTTGTGACGGAGGAACGCGTCTCTAGCTGATGTAGTCAACAGCTTAGAGACGACAATGTTGAACTAAAACTCCTAAAAGTCCAAATCAGACAGAAATATTTGACTTGGTCGTTTATTTATTGTGAAAAATGATCCTCTATCGCATACGTGTGAGCAGAAGAAGTATGTGAAGTTATAGGACTAGCTGAGGATGTGAAGGTGAAATGAGAGTCTGGTGTTTTCAATGAACGGAGACGTTGGAGGTCAGCGTGCTCTGGTCTATTAAAAGAACAGGCATCCATCAAAGAGTGAAGTTTGTGAAAAGGCATCGCGTCGGGAACAAAGGACGTCGGTTTAAAGAGCTGTTGATGCTCATTAGGCTGGAAAAGGCTACGAAACATATCGACTAATCCACAGAGGGATTGTGTACAAATAGAGGAAATTCAAGACCATTGTTGTCGTCTGTAGGAGGGGGTCGCCCCACAAAGAAAGCCAGGTGAGGTCAACGAGGACTCTTCTAAGCAACTCTTTAGCATTGACAGGAGGTACAGGAGGGCTGTAGCCCATCTGCAGTTTGCAAAAGACCACATGGACAAGCCAGAGGGCTGCTGGAATCATGCCGATTGGATTAAAATAGAACTTATTGGTTCAAATGAGATGTTTGAAAAGATTCAGGCAAACACGGCGGTGGCATTATCATAGCCTGTTCTGCTGCATCTGTGCGGCTCATTGTCAGAAGATTGAATTCTAAATTATATCAGCAAATTGTAAAGGTCAGGACACGTGGAGGGAATCTCAAGAGAAAGCTGTAAGCTGACGGGCCGGGTTAAAGGAGGGTTAGTGTTTGTGAACGGTCAAGTTCTGATGACACCGATCCAGTCGAGATGTGACGTTACAAACCAAAGCGAGTTGTTCGTTTGAGGAGATCGCAGTGGAAACTGTTATTGTTACGGGAGAGATTTAGTTGAGAACATGTTGACATACTCTGGATACTCACAGATATGTCAGACTGGATCATTTTCCTACAAATAAAGTAAAACACTTTTAGAGGACCTCTGTGAAAATCTAATCATATTTCAGGCCTTAATCATGCAGAAATATAGAAACATTCTCCAGACAGTAGCTGAGGATTGTTGGTTTTGGTCTTTTCAGAGGATTTCATGACAACAAAAACTCCCAGACTCGACCTTTAACAAGTTCAGAATAGTGACACGTTCTAGAGAAAAAAAAACTTGACTTAATGAGTGAAGGAATTGAACACCTTAGAGAAGCTGTGTGGTGGTTTTTCTGTCACTGATCTGTATTATTAACTTCAAGAAGGACACTGAAGGTTTCCTACAGGAGTCGACGTGCTTCACAACCCCGGTGACATCATCAATGCTGCATCGACGACACGACGGGGAAAAAAAATTAATGTATTTGATTTGTGAATGTTAGATATTTGTACTTCATTTGTGGTATTGAACTCACTGTTTTTGGATTTTTGGATGTGCCATCGAGATCTGAGACGTTTTCTGAATGTTCTGGTGGAGATGCTGATTAAACCTCGTGATCACAGTAGACGCTGTACAAGAGGTCACTTCCCACGACACCTACTGGAACGTATGTACTGACTGGAGTGAACAACCACTTAAACGCAGACGGACCCGTGAAGCATGTTGAGCTTGTGGTCAGTGCTGCTGTCTTGAAAATGTATAAAATGTTTACTTATTGAAGAAACCAGCATGATTTTGCACAATCAACACGATGTACCACTTCACTGTAACTTGTCCGATCGTTTTTTTTTCTTCTTCTGGTTTCAAACACATCCCGGCTGTAAGTCATCCTCTGACGCATCATGTGGATTAAAGATTATCACAGTGAACATTAGTCATGTGTGTATTTAAAACAACACAACGCCCATTAAAGCAAACGACAGTCACCGGTGTGAGTTTGAAATAAATTTATTTGTCTGTGATGCGTGCTGTGTCGCTGCAGCGGGCCGGCTAACCGTCCCCTGCCTCTTGCTCTTGTGCTCGTAAGAAGCTGGCCTTTTTCTGGGCGACGCGATCCTTCCTCTGTGCCAGAGATAACTTGGCGCGATTCCACCTGCCCGGAAGGAGACACAACAGCAGCTCCATTAACATTCAGCACATCGGCGGAGAGAAATGTTTGTCTGCTCAGCGCTGGGATCTACCCCGGCAGCTATTCAATACCCCGACAGTTATTTGGCGCTGAATGAGTGCCGTTATTTTCCACGGCTGTCGATAATGCGACGGGTGTTTTAAAGGGTTGCGCAACATGAAGGTAATTAAGACATGCAAATGAGGAACCCACCTCTTCTTCTTGACGTCTTTTTTGGGTTTCTTTTCGTGGACGGGGTTCGCTCTGATGCTGGCGTGTGCTTTTTTGTACATTTCTTCTACCTGAAAACAGAAACGCATGCGTGAGCACCGAGTCACGTGGCTGTGATGTTGCGGGACGGCTCGTCTCGCTTCTCTCAGCCCCGTCTTGAAAAGGACAGTGAACATCAGCCGATGCAAATGAAGGACCAACTACATTTTGCTCAGCGTACTTTGCATCATCATCGAGAAGCAGAGAGGAACCAGCGACAGCAGATTAGTGGATCATTGTCAGATGTGTGCTGCTAGTAGAGGAAGATCTCAGCTGATTGTCCTGATGACAGTTTAACCAAAGCTTTCAGAGGCCACGGCTGCTCACAAACACACACCAGACCAGGTACGAGTAGTTGACACATGTTTTGATCAGATTAGGTTTAGAATTTTGTGCAATATTTGAGAATTTCATAACCAGCAATTGTCTTTTTTTTATGTCCAAGTGGGTTAGAGTTGAAAGGTTTGGGAATAAATAATGAGATGTCACTTTAATCGAGCGTTCAACAACATGATGGAACATAAAGACGTGGATCGATCTGTAAAACCACTGATCTAAAAGTTTACAGCCAGGGCCGGACGTTCTGCATCACAAACATCCAGAATTTCAGTCTTTACTTAAAGCATCGTTTCAAATCATCTGGTGAGGCTTGTGTGAAAAAGCAATGACAGCGAGACGCTGGATTTATACGACAGTTCTGAGGCCATCACGGCTGTAACCGTATCATACACGCTGATGATCGATAACTAATATATTAGATATTAACATCTAGTTATCAAACAACTGCAGGAGCTGTGCAATGAGCAGAACCTTTTACAGTTTCCAAATAAACATGTTAGCGCTCTCTGGTGGACTAACGGTGTAACAATGACACCGACCCGAGGCTCAGAATCAGCTTCTGGAGGCTGACAAAGCACAACAGCCTGACTGGTCCATGGACAGGAAAGCAACCAGTCCGTGTTTCCTCATTTAGCAGGAGTCTGTGCGTTTTTAAATTTAAACTGCTATTTTTATTTTCAATGTTTAGCATTTCGACACCGGTTATGTCACTCTGGAGCTGGTAAAAACGGGCGCACAAAGAAATCCTTAATGAAGGAAACATCCTGTTAAACATGCTGGTTTCAGGGTGTCCTTATAGCTCACCTGGCTGAGCAGGTGACCAATGAACAGGGTCTATAGTTCCCTGATGCAGCGGTCGTGGGTTCGACTCACGACCCTTTGCTGCAGGTCTCTCCCTGTTCTTCTCCCCCCTTCCCTGTCTAGCTCTACTGCTCTGACTCTTTCAAAGTAAGACCTCTGGACAACACCGTCATCCATGTCGGCCACGTTATCGATTTTTTTTATTGCTGAACTTAACAGGAGGTCTGTACATGAACCCACAGTCAGCTGTCTGAAGGCGTCCTCCAGTTACATCGTCTGTTTTTCAGCCGTTATCTTACCGTGTCTGGCGTGACGCCGTTCTTGATGAAGCGCGAGAACTGTTTCTTGTAGGCCTCCTCGTCCTCCTCCATCAGGTAGGACATGTAGTCGGCCACGTTCATGCCCATGATGTGCTTCCGATGCACCTCCGCGTTGAACTCTTTACTCTCTGGGTCGTAACCGGGGAAACGTTTTAGACTAGAAACGAGAGAGATGATGAGTCAGACAATACAGCAGCTCCCAACGCATCAGACTTCCTGCAGTCGGGTTCTTTCAGTGCTGTTAGACACCCACACCGTTACACAACGACGGGCGTTTGTTTCGGTTCGTCTCGCTTCTCTCAGCCCCGTCTTGAAAAGGACAGTGAACATCAGCTAATGCAAATGAAGGACCAACTACATTTTGCTCAGCGTGCTTCGTATCATCATCAAGAAGCAGAGAGGAACCAGCAAACACGGGTCAATGACCTGCTGCACAAACATCACGTCGGCTGTTATTCCATTTAAAATGAAAACTGTAAAATTCACTGATCAGGAATTCAATTAAGACTTTGATTTGAAGATTTCTTTCTTTGATGAAGTTTCTAAATAACCTCACTCTCCTACCGACCTGTGTGGAATAGCTAGTCCTCCGTCGACTGCCCCCTTCAGCGCTCCAAACACCTTGTTCCCTGTAGTGGTTCTGGTCAGACCTGCATCCAGGTAGCAGGTGAAGGCGCCCGGTTGTCCGTCCACGCTCTCGACGTTGAACTCGTCTCCCGTCACCTCCACCTGGCCCTCGTACACCTGGTCCATGCCAAACTTTTGCAGCAGCTACAAAGAAACCACACAGAGTACGTTAGTTTTGCTCCCACTGGTTTGGAAATCGGATCATCCTGACCTACGAAATCGCCTTTTTCAATGTTAACCTATCACACATTGACATGTGTGTGGAGCGTTTACCCGGCGAGCCAGCAGCAGCCCTGTGCAGTAGGCCGCGGCGTAGTTCGTGAGGCCGACAGCGATGCCATATTTGGGCAGCTCGTGGGAGTAAGCAGCACACACGATCTGGTCGCCTTCAATCTTTGCATAGGCGATCTGAAACGCACAAAACAGACAGAGGAGGGTCAGTCGGGGCCTTTTAAACACGCGACCATGTGAGCTTCACCGAGCGCTTTCGGTCACCGACCTGGCAGCAGATGTCCCTGTTGGAGAGCCGAACAATCATTCGGTACTTGGGAGTGTTGTACTTGTTCTTGTCCTGCACGACGAGGCGTTTGCGTGCAAAGAAGTCAGTTTTCCCCTCTGAAAAGGATCAAAACCAGCAGTTAATGAAATGTCACGAAGCTTTAAAGGGCCTGGGTGAGAAAAAAACAGGAGCTCTGTACCAGTGAAAGCTGTTGGATTAAAAGACTTCAAAGGTTTTACTGTCATATGCAGCAATAAACAAATTAGTTTGTTGTGTCTCTAACTAGAGCCATGATTAATGTACTTACAAAATACACTGAACACTTGCATCTATTCATATATAGTGAGGTAACAAATATGAATATAAACGGAAAGTTGTGTAATAAACATGTAGTGAACGATAGAAGCAATATTGATGGTGTAAGATCTGCTCAGATGTACTGAGTTAGGTAATGCTGAATATACAAAGTGCAGTTCAGAAAAAACCTGGGCAACATGGTGCAAAGGCCGACATTATTCAGATCCAAAACAAACAAAAATGCAGCATCTGGTTGTATGAACAAACACCCAGCGTGCTCCCTTCCTGACTCACACACAGATAATCACGTCTTAATAATGGAGCCCCTGAGCAGATATTCCACGGCATGCTAGTCTGCAGACGCAACAGCCGTTCATCACCTCTGTCTACACCCAAAAGCGTCCCCTGGTGGCCAGCAGGCACCTTTGCGGTCAGACAACCATAGACTGCATAAAAGATGGACGTAGCTACCGTGACATTACCCGTTGGCTTCTGCACTGAGAACATGAAGCCAGGATTTTGCTACTTCCTGGTTGACATCTTGGATTTTTGGAGCCAGTGATGCAAAAATCGTCAGAGTGGGGCGGAGCCATAGGAGCAGCGATTGGTCAGACGGATTGAGAGGCAGGGCCTTTCTGCCCGCCCACATTTACCGCCTTCTGCTCGCTTTGTCTGCATTGTCGCTGCCGACTGTCAATCAAGCCAGCCACGCCCCTTGCCCCGCAAAATGTTGACGATTTTTTCAAAATTCAATATTGATTTATTTTCAGATTGGCCACCTGATCTCTGGATTTGACCATGAAAACTAATAAGAAAAAAATCCTGAGCTGTAGGAATGCAGTATTTCGTGATCTGTGATCACTTCTTTTCCAATTCCAGTCTATGGGAGCCAGGGCTTTTTGGAGCCAGCAACTAGTGGACGTAGTGATATTGCAGGTTTTTGACACTTCCGGGTTGGCTTCATTTTTCAGGGCTGGTTGCTACGTCCATCTTTTAAACAGTCTATGCAGACAACACCCACGTAGCAGAAACGGTGATATCTCAACGGGCCTTTGGTTTACACGTAAACAAAGCTACGAGTCACTGAAAACCATCAGATCTGAAAACGCCGGGCAAAGTGGAGATTTGGGAAAAACTCCATCTTTACGTATGCATGTAGAAAAGAGGAGGCGGAGTCTGACGTTACAGTGAGCGACTAAAGCGTCGTCAGCGTCACATGTGTGCGACCATGTTTACAGTCTGGCTGCTGTGATAGAAAGTCAGTGTGTTCTAGTGGTTTCCTTGTTGTGTCTCTGACACCACATGTAGGAGCAGCTCCACTTCTATGTCCGTCCAAACAAACCACCCTCAGCGCCATTATCGTTGAAGTAACAGGAAGTTTTTGTCGTTGTGCTTTTTTCCAGATTGGGTAGCATGCTTCTCGTTACACTGCCCCCTATAGGTCTGGCAGCTCATAGCAGCTCTTAACCACGGGTTTAAGCAGGTTTGTGTAAATGAAGATCTTTTTGAAACCGATCTGGTGAGAACGATGTGATATTGGAAATCGTAGATCCGTTTTTGTGAATACCAGCTACGTGTAAACGTGGCCTCTATCCCACAGGCTCTTCT